TTTTTTTTTTTTTTTTTTGCCAGAGTCTTGCTCTGTAGCCCAGGCTGTAGCGCGTTGGTGCAATCTCGGCTCACTGCAACCTCCACCTCCCAGGTTCAAGCGATTCTCCTGCCTCAGACTCCTGAGTAGCTGGGATTACACCTGCCACCACGCCCAGCTAATATATGTATTTTTAGTAGAGACGGGGTTTCACCATATTGGCCAGGCTGGCCCTGAATTCCTGACCTCAGGTGATCCACCTGCCTCTGCCTCCCAATGTGCTGGGATTACAGGTGTGAGCTACCACACCTGTCTGAAAGGTGTTTTCTTTTTTTTTTTTTTTTTTTTTTTGATTTAACAACTATTTACTGTATGCCTGGTATATATATAGGTCAGGACTTACAGTCTTAGAGATATAGAAATAAAAAAAAAAACAACAGTGTTTATCTTCTCTCTTACCCACATTCTTATAATTCAATGGCATAAACACATAAACAATGACAGCACCTATAATGCCACTTATTCACTGATGGAGAGAGTAAATGTAAGAAGATGGGAGAACACAGAGAAAGAGTCCCTAACACATCCTGGGGAACTTGGGGAGGGCTTCCTAGGGAATTTTGATGGGTGAATGGGTTGAGGCAGGAGAAAGAATTCTGGGAAGAGGGATCATCTTAAATAAAGAGTAAGCAAAGGTAGTAACACAGGCTAGGGGAAATAGGAAACGGCTTAGTAAGGCTGATAGTTACATTATGTGCACTGGGATAAGTCTGCAGAGAATTCCTGTAGCCAGATCATAATGGACACACTGAAGGGTTTGGATTTGTTCAGAAGGTCATGGGGAGCCAGGAAACATTTTAAGTAGAGGAGCAATACACTCAGATTTGCAGCCAATAGGGGCAGAAGTGAAAATGCTTCTCTGTATTTAAAGAGAACCTGAACATTTTTATTCACAGTTTAAAACCATTCATTATCTAGACAATTGAAACTTTTTTTTTCTCTTCCTTCTTCCCTTTGATGTTTCCTGGCTGGAGTTTGATGAACTAAATGAACATGGTCCAGATACACACATCTAAGGGTGCTCACCCCACACCCCTTATTGACACTGTAAGGAAGACATCTGCATGGACTGAGTGTTTAGTGGAGAACTGGAGTCAAATTCCCCATTATTAGCAGGCCTTGAAAGTAACTAACTGAGCCTAAGTTAAGCAGTTTTAATTTTTTAATTTGACATTTTGGCTCTGTTTCCCATGGTTATTTTTAGCCCTGTCACATTGTCTGGCATACTGTGGGGGCTCAGTTAATGTTTGGTGACTGAGTATGTTGACAGATCATCACCAAAAGGGACATTCACCCATCCATACATTCATTCATCTATATATCTATCCTTCCATCCATCTGTCAATGCAGTCATCCATCTATCCATCCAGCCATCAATACATTTACCTGTCCATTCATCTAATATATCCATCCATGCATCCATTAATCCATCTATCCATCAATACATTCATTAACACATTCATCCATTCTTCCACCCACTAGGCATGTTTGAGTACCTCCTATATGTCACACCATGTACCAGAACTATGCTAAGAAAATGATACAAAAAAGACCAAATATACTTAATTTTTCAAGTTTGGGGAGGGGGACACACAAAAAACTAATACCTGTAAAAATAGAGATAGAGACTAAGTTGGTGGAAAGCATAAGAGAAGGAGTGGCTAATTCTATGGTGATTCCTTGACTGGAATAAGGAAACAAAGTAGAAAGTGTTTGAGTTGTGCTGAGAAGGAAGAGGAATTAAAAGTTGAGCAGCTCTTGCTCATGCACATGGAAGAAATACAAAGTCCAAGGCAGAGAATTCTGAAACATCATAATGTGTTCAATGAGCTGCAGTCAGTTCAGAATGGCAGGGAAATGGGGGCAAGTGGGAAAGTAACATGCAAGAGGAAGCTAGAGACAGACACAGGAATCGGATAAGTAAGTGCTGTATAGACTGTACTGCAGAGTTTAGACTTCATCCTGTTTTTATTTGGAATGGAGGCTTGAAATGCAAGTTTGCAAAGGGCAGATGGGCAAACAGATGAGGCTTTGTAGTAACCCAAGCAAGGAATAGAGACGATGGTCAAAGAAAGCAACAGCTGGAATGAAGAGATTGGACAGACAGTCAGGGAACTGCAATGGAATTTCAATACAAAAACTACCAACAAAGACCATCAGTGGCCTTGGCCTCAGCTAGTAGAAAAGAAGTTACCAGTCACTCTGTACCTGCTGCCCCAAATTTGTAATTAGGGTGGCCAACACACTGGGGTGTTTCTTATTGAGTCCACTCAGATCTTAAGCCAGGTTTAAATTATCCAACCTTTTGGGGTGAATGGAGTTCAGGTTGAGTCTACGTAGTGTCCCAAATGTGGGAAAACTGAAAAGTTTGGTATATTATCAAGAAATCTGGATATCTCCAGTTTACTGTTTGGAAATGGTGGATCAGGGAACAAATGTTTTGGTTTTGACATAGACTCTTGGAGAGCCATTCACAAGGTTACATAACATGAACTAAATATCACAGCAGTTGGTTTTTGTATATTTGTTTTTGAAGCAGAATCTTGCTCTGTCACCCAGCATGGGGTGCAGTGGTACAATCTTGGCTCACTGCAACCTCCACCTCCCAGGTTCAAGCAATTCTCCTGCTTCATCCTCCCCAGTAGCTGGGATTATAGGTATCCACCACCACTCTGGCTAATGTTTGTATTTTTAGTAGAGTCGGGATATCACCATGTTGGCCAGGCTGGTCTTGAACTCCTGACCTCAAATGATCCCCCTGTCTCGGCCTCCCAAAGTGCTGGGATTACAGGTGTGAACCACTGCTGCCC